AGTTTATATCAGGTGGGTCTATATCAGGTGGGTCTGTTTTATATCAGGTGGGTCAGTTTTATATCAGGTGGGTCAGTTTTATATCAGGTGGGTCAGTTTTATATCAGGTGGGTCTAGTTTATATCAGGTGGGTCAGTTTTATATCAGGTGGGTCTAGTTTATATCAGGTGGGTCAGTTTTATATCAGGTGGGTCTAGTTTATATCAGGTGGGTCTAGTTTATATCAGGTGGGTCAGTTTTATATCAGGTGGGTCTAGTTTATATCAGGTGGGTCTAGTTTATATCAGGTGGGTCAGTTTTATATCAGGTGGGTCTAGTTTATATCAGGTGGGTCAGTTTTATATCAGGTGGGTCTAGTTTATATCAGGTGGGTCAGTTTTATATTAGGTGGGTCTAGTTTATATCAGGTGGGTCTAGTTTATATCAGGTGGGTCAGTTTTATATCAGGTGGGTCTAGTTTATATCAGGTGGGTCTAGTTTATATCAGGTGGGTCAGTTTTATATCAGGTGCGTCTATATCAGGTGGTCTGTTTTATATCAGGTGCGTCTGTTTTATATCAGGTGAGTCTAGTTTATAACAGGTGGGTCAGTTTTATATCAGGTGGTCTGTTTTATATCAGCTCGATACACCCAGAAATTGTAACACGTGTGTTTGTACCCAGTGACGTCACTAGAGGGTGCGAGGTACTGGATGGGGGCTGGACATTTGGTGTGCAAAATGACCCGCATCCCTTTATCTGTAAATCGCCAAACACCTTACCCCCCCCCCCCACCCACCTATTATTCTGGATAAATATTTCCAGAAAAAAAAGTCTGTATAAAAAAAACTGAAAGAAGAAAGTCTACAGGACAAAACAAAAAAATTCCAACCAAACCCATTTTTAAAATACATTACAATGACGTCGTTAAAACACGAGGATTTAAAAATTTGGAGAAAACAATTTTCAAAATCTTGAGCCTGCCGCCAACTTCCTTTATCTTACCCCTCCCCCCCCCCCCTCCCCCACTGTCTCCTCCCTCTAACCAGATTATCCCTCCAGCTCCCCATTTATTATGCTGCATAATTCCCCTCCAGCCCACAGTAGTTCTCGCCCAATGAATTGTCTGCCCCTGGGCGGGGGTTAATTAGCCAGACAGGGGAGGTAAATCAATAGACCTTTATTTGTTGACGTCATTGCAATCATCGCTGTCCAGATGTGCCTGGGTGAGCAGCAGTTGTGTGCACGTGCATGTGCACGAGCGGCAGGAAATCATGGTCAGTAGAGTTATGTGGTCAGAACTTAATGACAGAACTTAATGACAGAACTTAATGACAGAACTTAATGACAGAACTTAATGACAGAACTTAATGAAAGAACTTAATGACATAACTTAATGACAGAACTTAATGACAGAACTTAATGAAAGAACTTAATGACATAACTTAATGACAGAACTTAATGACAGAACTTAATGAAAGAACTTAATAACATAACTTAATGACAGAACTTAATGACACAACATAATGACAGAACTTAGTGAAAGAACTTAATGATATAACTTAATGACAGAACTTAATGACAGAACTTAATGAAAGAACTTAATGACAGAACTTAATGAAACAACTTAATGACAGAACTTAAGTCTACGTAGTTTAACATCGAATTAGCCGACACTATTGCAGATGGTCATCATGCTTTCAAGGTTATAGAGAAATTGGGGGGGGGGGGGGGGAGGGTAGGTTGTGGGGCCAGGGAATGAAGGAGTGGGGGGTCGGGGAATGAAGGTGTAGGGGGTCGGGGAATGAAGGTGCTGTATATTATCATTTGCTTGATGTGTCAAACGATGAACGTTATTAATGGCCTTTATTTGTGACACGGAGATTATACGGAGGTCATTAATCCACCCTCGTGTGTGTCGTTAATGACGCTAATTATGTGAGTAGAAATACGCACACACACACACTTACTCACACTCACCCCCACAGACTCACACAACATGTTTACGTCGACGTCAGAACGTTAATGAGCGTGTAATTAATTCATCAGCTCAAGTTAATCCCACGCGCCCTCACAACTTGCCCCCCCCCACAGATCATTAGCTGTGTGGGCACGTGATTCCCTCTTCCTTTGATTAGATTATGCAGGGCTTTATTAGCATACAATTTACATATCTGTCATACAACATTACACGGAAAAGGTTTTTTTTAACTTAAAGCTAATTAATGGCTGGCGATTTCTGGTTAATTATAATTAAAAGCCGTTTTTTAACATATCATAAAAAAATAAACCGGGAGTAATCTCCCCTAAACTTTCTCGACTATTCTTATATAACACTACGTGGGATGGCAACTCGAAAGATAGACATGATTTTTAATTACTTAAACTTTTATAAATAAATAGAATCTCGTAGAAAAAAGAATTGCGCACCAAGCGAACGCCAAAACAAAATATGCATAATAGTGCGCTATGTTAATAGTACTTTATAAATTTACATGCATTTTTTGAGAAATCGGAAATAGCGTAAATTAGTACTTCCGGTGAACGGAAATTACTCAAAATTTGACAGATGGTAGAGAATTAGATCGTTTACTTACAAGTGAAATTTCATTTATCTATCTAAAATAGTACTCAAGTTATAGGCTTTTGAAAAATTCAAAGTGGAAAAAGTACCACTTCCGTTATCGGAAATCGCTCAAAAGTTGATACGGATCTACGATTTTGATAAAATACTTATATATGAAATTTCATTAACCTAGCTGTAATTGTACTCAAGTTATCACGTTTACACACAGACACACACACAGACACACACACACAGGCACACAGACATACGGACAAGATTGCAAAATTATGTTTTGCCGTTTCAGTGAGGTGTTTTAGCACGAATACAAGACTTTCTCTATACTTCGTATATACGAGAAAGTAATAATTGAATAAAGTTTTTGTTTGTTTGACCAGGAAGGTAGAGGGTAGAGACTACACCTACATCAGCAACTTCCGGGCTGACAACGGCAGGGTCGACGCCGGAAGTGAACTCTTCTACATCCGGATATTCCAGCCTTACACTTCCGGTAATGGCGGACCCGTAAGTTTGGTGTTTGTAACATTAGAGACTCAAATTGTTGGTACAAGTTGGTTCATTATTCAAATAAGTGATACGATTTGTTCATCAAAGCTACATTAATCAACTAATTAAAAAATAATACTTGACAAAATGTCCTTCAGAGACAAAATGTCCTCTAGAGACAAAATGTCCTGTAAGACTCAAAACACATGTCTCTAACACAATCGCTACGTCATCAAAGATTCCAAGTCAAGTGTGTGGAAGAAGATAATGATGATGGGGGTGTAGAGAGTGATGATGGGGGTGTAGAGAGTGATGATGGGGGTGTAGAGAGTGATGATGGGGGTGTAGAGAGTGATGATGGGGGTGTAGAGAGTGATGATGGGGGTGTAGAGAGTGATGATGGGGGTGTAGAGAGTGATGATGGGGGTGTAGATGATGGGGGTGTAGAGAGTGATGATGGGGGTGTAGATGATGGGGGTGTAGATGATGGGGGTGTAGAGAGTGATGATGGGGGTGTAGATGATGGGGGTGTAGAGAGTGATGATGGGGGTGTAGAGAGTGATGATGGGGGTGTAGAGAGTGATGATGGGGGTGTAGAGAGTGATGATGGGGGTGTAGAGAATGATGATGGGGGTGTAGAGAGTGATGATGGGGGTGTAGAGAGTGATGATGGGGGTGTAGAGAGTGATGATGGGGGTGTAGAGAGTGATGATGGGGGTGTAGAGAGTGATGATGGGGGTGTAGAGAGTGATGATGGGGGTGTAGAGAGTGATGATGGGGGTGTAGATGATGGGGGTGTAGAGAGTGATGATGGGGGTGTAGATGATGGGGGTGTAGATGATGGGGGTGTAGAGAGTGATGATGGGGGTGTAGAGAGTGATGATGGGGGTGTAGATGATGGGGGTGTAGAGAGTGATGATCGGGGTGTAGAGAGTGATGATGGGGGTGTAGAGAATGATGATGGGGGTGTAGAGAGTGATGATGGGGGTGTAGAGAGTGATGATGGGGGTGTAGAGAGTGATGATGGGGGTGTAGAGAGTGATGATGGGGGTGTAGAGAGTGATGATGGGGGTGTAGAGAGTGATGATGGGGGTGTAGAGAGTGATGATGGGGGTGTAGATGATGGGGGTGTAGAGAGTGATGATGGGGGTGTAGATGATGGGGGTGTAGATGATGGGGGTGTAGAGAGTGATGATGGGGGTGTAGAGAGTGATGATGGGGGTGTAGATGATGGGGGTGTAGATGATGGGGGTGTAGAGAGTGATGATGGGGGTGTAGAGAGTGATGATGGGGGTGTAGATGATGGGGGTGTAGAGAGTGATGATGGGGGTGTAGATGATGGGGGTGTAGATGATGGGGGTGTAGAGAGTGATGATGGGGGTGTAGATGATGGGGGTGTAGAGAGTGATGATGGGGGTGTAGATGATGGGGGTGTAGATGATGGGGGTGTAGAGAGTGATGATGGGGGTGTAGAGAGTGATGATGGGGGTGTAGATGATGGGGGTGTAGATGATGGGGGTGTAGAGAGTGATGATGGGGGTGTAGAGAGTGATGATGGGGGTGTAGATGATGGGGGTGTAGAGAGTGATGATGGGGGTGTAGATGATGGGGGTGTAGATGATGGGGGTGTAGAGAGTGATGATGGGGGTGTAGAGAGTGATGATGGGGGTGTAGAGAGTGATGATGGGGGTGTAGATGATGGGGGTGTAGAGAGTGATGATGGGGGTGTAGAGAGTGATGATGGGGGTGTAGATGATGGGGGTGTAGATGATGGGGGTGTAGAGAGTGATGATGGGGGTGTAGAGAGTGATGATGTGGGTGTAGAGAATGATGATGGGGGTGTAGAGAGTGATGATGGGGGTGTAGAGAGTGATGATGGGGGTGTAGAGAGTGATGATGGGGGTGTAGATGATGGGGGTGTAGAGAGTGATGATGGGGGTGTAGAGAGTGATGATGGGGGTGTAGAGAGTGATGATGGGGGTGTAGAGAGTGATGATGGGGGTGTAGAGAGTGATGATGTGGGTGTAGAGAGTGATGATGTGGGTGTAGAGAATGATGATGGGGGTGTAGAGAGTGATGATGGGGGTGTAGAGAGTGATGATGGGGGTGTAGATGATGGGGGTGTAGAGAGTGATGATGGGGGTGTAGAGAGTGATGATGTGGGTGTAGAGAATGATGATGTGGGTGTAGAGAGTGATGATGGGGGTGTAGAGAGTGATGATGGGGGTGTAGAGAGTGATGATGTGGGTGTAGAGAATGATGACGGGGGTGTAGAGAGTGATGATGGGGGTGTAGAGAGTGATGATGGGGGTGTAGAGAGTGATGATGGGGGTGTAGATGATGGGGGTGTAGAGAGTGATGATGGGGGTGTAGAGAGTGATGATGGGGGTGTAGATGATGGGGGTGTAGATGATGGGGGTGTAGAGAGTGATGATGGGGGTGTAGAGAGTGATGATGGGGGTGTAGAGAGTGATGATGGGGGTGTAGATGATGGGGGTGTAGAGAGTGATGATGGGGGTGTAGAGAGTGATGATGGGGGTGTAGAGAGTGATGATGGGGGTGTAGAGAGTGATGATGGGGGTGTAGAGAGTGATGATGGGGGTGTAGATGATGGGGGTGTAGATGATGGGGGTGTAGAGAGTGATGATGGGGGTGTAGATGATGGGGGTGTAGAGAGTGATGATGGGGGTGTAGAGAGTGATGATGGGGGTGTAGAGAATGATGATGGGGGTGTAGAGAGTGATGATGGGGGTGTAGAGAGTGATGATGGGGGTGTAGAGAATGATGATGGGGGTGTAGAGAGTGATGATGGGGGTGTAGATGATGGGGGTGTAGATGATGGGGGTGTAGATGATGGGGGTGTAGAGAGTGATGATGTGGGTGTAGAGAGTGATGATGGGGGTGTAGAGAGTGATGATGGGGGTGTAGAGAGTGATGATGGGGGTGTAGAGAGTGATGATGGGGGTGTAGATGATGGGGGTGTAGAGAGTGATGATGGGGGTGTAGAGAGTGATGATGGGGGTGTAGAGAGTGATGATGGGGGTGTAGAGAATGATGATGGGGGTGTAGAGAGTGATGATGGGGGTGTAGATGATGGGGGTGTAGATGATGGGGGTGTAGAGAGTGATGATGTGGGTGTAGAGAATGATGATGGGGGTGTAGAGAGTGATGATGGGGGTGTAGAGAGTGATGATGGGGGTGTAGAGAGTGATGATGGGGGTGTAGATGATGGGGGTGTAGAGAGTGATGATGTGGGTGTAGAGAGTGATGATGGGGGTGTAGATGATGGGGGTGTAGAGAGTGATGATGGGGGTGTAGAGAGTGATGATGTGGGTGTAGAGAGTGATGATGGGGGTGTAGATGATGGGGGTGTAGAGAGTGATGATGGGGGTGTAGAGAGTGATGATGGGGGTGTAGAGAGTGATGATGGGGGTGTAGATGATGGGGGTGTAGAGAGTGATGATGGGGGTGTAGAGAGTGATGATGGGGGTGTAGAGAGTGATGATGGGGGTGTAGAGAGTGATGATGGGGGTGTAGAGAGTGATGATGGGGGTGTAGAGAGTGATGATGGGGGTGTAGAGAGTGATGATGGGGGTGTAGAGAGTGATGATGGGGGTGTAGATGATGGGGGTGTAGATGATGGGGGTGTAGATGATGGGGGTGTAGATGATGGGGGTGTAGAGAGTGATGATGGGGGTGTAGAGAGTGATGATGGGGGTGTAGATGATGGGGGTGTAGAGAATGATGATGGGGGTGTAGAGAGTGATGATGGGGGTGTAGAGAGTGATGATGGGGGTGTAGAGAGTGATGATGGGGGTGTAGATGATGGGGGTGTAGAGAGTGATGAAAGTTATATCGTGGGGGGGGGGGGGGGCTCCTTCGTTAGAAAACGTGAAGTTTTGGTCTGTGGGTGGACGTGGAAAGTTAAGGGCAGTTTGTATGTGTGTTGCAGGTAGGTTGGGTGTGTGGATGGTGTGTGTGAGTGGTGTTTTTATTATAGATGTGCATTGACCTAATTTACTCACACCTGCCTTGACCTAATTTACTCACACCTGCATTGACCTAATTTACTCACACCTGTGCATTGACCTAATTTACTCACACCTGCCTTGACCTAATTTACTCACACCTGCCTTGACCTAATTTACTCACACCTGCACTGACCTAATTCACTCCCACCTGCCCTGCCCCTGTGTTCCAGATATTCTTTGGTGACGACGGCTACCTGTATCTGGTCACGGGGGACGGGGGGGAGCACGACGACCCCAAGGGAAACGCCCAGAACAAGTAAACTTTTATTTTATTTTATTTGACAAGTTGTCCAGTAGGAGACAGATCAAAAAAAATTAAAATTAAAATACTTAAGGAATAGTTGAGTAAATAACACAGTTATGTCTGGTTGTACATTGAAATTGTTGGTCCCTTTCCCCATTCATCAAAGTAAAGATCTGTAGAATGACGTAAGAACAGTAAGAATTTCTTCCCCCAGGAATTCTTTCCACGGGAAGGTTCTCCGGATTGACGTGAACGACGGTCAGGACTTCACGGAGGGGGAGTCAAGCGTGGCCAAGTTGTACGGCGTCCCCAGCAGCAACCCCTTCTACAACTACACCATCGCCAGACCGGAGATCTTCGCCATCGGCTTCAGGAATGTGTGGGGGTGTAGTCAGGATTCGGTGCTGAGGACGGGGGGTAAGGCGTGACACGTGACACAAACTGTAGGGGGGTGAGGTCAGGATTGGGTGCTCAGGACTGGGGGTAGGGCGTGACACGTGACACGTGAAACTGTAGGGGGGGGGTGTAGTCAGGATTGGGTGCTGAGGACGGGGGGTAGGGTGTGACACGTGACACGTGACACTGTAGGGGGGATGCAGTCAGGATTCGGTGCTGAGGACGGGGGGTAGGGTGTGACACGTGACACGTGACACGTGAAACTGTAGGGGGGGGGGGGGGTGCAGTCAGGATTCGGTGCGGAGGACGGGGGGTAGGGTGTGACACGTGACACGTGAAACTGTAGGGGGGGGTGTAGTCAGGATTCGGTGCTGAGGACGGGGGGTAGGGTGTGACACGTGACACGTGAAACTGTAGGGGGGGGGTGTAGTCAGGATTGGGTGGTGATGAACGGTGGTAGGGCCGAAACGTAAGATGAGTAAAGTGTACAAACGTAAGGTGTGAAGCCTTGACAGTTCTAGTCACGATTCGGAACTATGGACAGGAGTTCGGGGTGTAAAAATGTGAGTCATGAAGTCCTGTAGTCAGCGTTTCATGTTTGAAACAAGAAATAGACTGCACCGAACATGAGCTGTGGCTCCACCAAATTTAAACAAGTTGAGCCCACACGTCTACAATACAAAAACTTTTTAAAGGCACTTAAAATAAGGAAATAAAACAAACTAAAAATGAGTGTATGCCCACTTCGTCAAGTAATTAGATTTTAATCTGGGCGAATCTATCCTTTCATAATTTGATTTTAATCTGGGTGAATCTATCCTTTCATAATTTGATTTTAATCTGGGTGAATCTATCCTTTCAAACAAATCGTGTCCCTGTAACACATTAGTCACGTAATCTAACGGGTCAAACGGCTAATTTTAAAACCAATCAATTGCGACATGTGGAGGGTAATCAATAAACCCTATCAATAGTGATGTTTGCCGTTGTCAGTCTGTCAGTCTGTCAAGTTTGTCAGTCTGTCAGTCTGTCAAGGCTTCATGGGATTGAATGGGCGGGGAAGAGGAGGGATGGAGGTTAATAGCCGCCGTCCTGAGACAGTTTGTGTTGTATAAAACCTTTGTAAAGCTGATCATTTTTTATAATCAATGATCAGTAAAATCTCGATCGTGTACAGTCATTTAAAATATTCCGTAATTTAAAAAAGAATGAAAATGTTTTTTTAACCGAGTAATTTATTAAAATCCACCCATCATTATTGTAAACTTCCTGTTGCCAGGTACTGGTCGGATCTTCTGCGCAGAAACTGGCACGAACAAATATGACGAAATCAACCTCATCCAAAGTGGCAGGAACTACGGCTGGAACATCCGGCAGGGATCTGAGTGTCACATGACTAACCCGGCAGAGTGCAGTCCCCTCGGTAAGCCGTCCCCCCCCCCCTACCCCCCCCCGTTGCCACTGAAGTCATGGGACAACCTGAAACTTAACGGGTTGTGCGACCTAATGACCGCGGGCTGTTACTGACAACCCACCACCTTCCACCACCACCACCCCACCCACTCAACAGCTCTGGAAGAGGGGGAGGGAAGGAGAATGTGGTTTAGTCATCTACTCACCCCTCCCCCTACACCAACCCCCTCTCCGCTACATCAGTCCCCCCCCTCCCCTTACACCTGCTCCGTACAAGATTCTTACATTCACGTCATCATTTAGATGTCACATTGATGTCCAATGACATAACACGGCCTAACATGACATGACAGCCGATGGTGACATGACACGACAGCTGGTCTGTCATCTGTCTTACTCATCGCGTGTTTTTGTTGCTGTCGCCGAAGTGGTCTGTAATATTTGATTAAGTTCATGTTTGTCTTCTTCATCTTCGTTCTCAATTGTGCTGTTGGGCGGGGTTTCCTTCAACTCAATTAAATATTACATGTCAATATAGTACTGAAGTGGTCTGTAAGATTTGATTAATGTAATGCTAGCACTTGATTACTTAGGGTCATCGTAAATAACATCTGGCTTCTAAAGTCTAAATAAATAATGGTGAGGGTAGGGGTGCTTCCGTTTTATCTTTGTAAGGGTAGGGGCAGGGGCGTAGCGGGGGGTGCGGACCGCACCGGGTGACACCATTTAGGGGGTGACACCAAAGCAAAAAATAGCAAAATATATAGAGAAAAACTTGAGGGGGGGTGCAAATCGAAAAACTTGAGGGGGGTGCAAATCGAAAGTTTGATGGGGGGGGGGGGGGTGCAAATCGAAAACTTGAAAGTTTGTACCCGGGAATGGTCGCTACTCCTCTGGGGGGTGACACCATTAAGTGCCGCACCGGGTGACATCCGACCTCGCTACGCCACTGGGTAGGGGTGGGGTATGGTTCTGTCGTTAAAGGTAAGGGTAGGGTGGGGTTACAGTTCCAGTGTTTCTACCAGACTTTATTCTCCGGGTATGAGGGGCACTTGAAATTTTCGGGGGGGGGGCGGTAGACTTTCTTTGGGGGGGGGGGGGGGGGCGGAGCACCCTCGAAGAGATGCCTGGAAGAAACTCTGTACAGTTCTATCTTAAATGGTAAGGGTGGGTGTACAGATCTATCTTAAATGGTAAGGGTGGGTGTACAGATCTATCTTTAATGGTAAGGGTGGGTGTACAGATCTATCTTTAATGGTAAGGGTGGGGGTACAGATCTATCTTTAATGGTAAGGGTAGGCGTGGGGGGTACGGTTCTATATTTTGTCACGATGAACTTAGCGAATGAAGGGGGGGGGGAGTTGAGACGGGTTACGTCACAGACATTTTATATTTCTTATTCACGACTACAAATAGATTATGGGGAGGGGATGGGTTAAGGGAATTCGTGACTGTGACGTCATGCTTAGGCCGGCTCTGATTGACGTCACATTATCGTGGGCGGGCTGATTAAACTGAACCATCGCGCTTAATTAGTGTATATAAAATTACTTAATGTTCAATTCCCTCCTCCCCCCCCCCCCACCCCACAGAGAACGAAGAGTTCCCCATCTACCAGCTCCCACACAACACCTCCCACGCTCTGGTGGGTGGGTACGTGTACAGGGGCAGACAATTCGCTCACGTCACCGGCCTCTACACCTTCGCTGACGTCATCACGGGGTGAGTACACGCTGACGTCATCACCCACTATGGGCGTTCCTCTACTAGTATCTTCTAGCCTATCAGTTAACACTTACATCAGAATATATTGAACAGAATACTAATTTTTCCCACTTCAGTCTTTATTTAACATTTCTAACATCAGTCTGCACCAACAGCATAACCTGAACCTACTTCTTCAATACCTAGCCCCAAACTCACTAGCTTACATTCTATCACAACAACGTCTTTTCTATCTTCTACGTCACTATCACACTATGTGCGTCACATCTTCATTCGTTCAACAAACGTGCTCACCAATATTAACTGGTACCAATCTATACTCAGAAACATGCACCATAACACTGACCTTAGACGAGAACCTAATGATTGATTATATCATCAAATGATTGATTATATCATCAAATGATTGATTATATCATCAAATGATTGATTATATCATCCAATGATTTTTTAAAATTTTAACCAAGGTATACACAATAGTGTATGTAAAGATCACATGTCTGTCACATGATGTCTGTCAGTCCTCTGTAATTTCTTCCCGTTGATTAAATTCTAAATTTTATTTGACAGTAAAATCTATTAAATTCTAACTTTTATTTGACAGTAAAATCTATTTAATTCTAACTTTTATTTGACAGTAAAATCTATTAAATTCTAAATTTCATTTGACAGTAAAATCTATTAAATTCTAAATTTTATTTGACAGTAAAATCTATTTGCTGGAGGAAAACAGACAGGGGACGTGGGAGAAGATCAACTGGCCTGCCTGTGATTTGAACCAGTGTCCACTGGACGCTAGAGAAAAACCACCCAAACACATCTTAGCCTTCAGCCAGGACCGACAAGGTAGTTCACTTGATTAAATGGTGACACTAATTAGGTAGTTCACTTGATTAATTAAATGGTGACACTAATTAGGTAGATCACTTGATTAAATGGTGACACTAATTAGGTAGTTCACTTGATTAATTAAATGGTGACACTAATTAGGTAGATCACTTGATTAAATGGTGACACTAATTAGGTAGTTCACTTGATTAAATGGTGACACTAATTAGGTAGATCACTTGATTAAATGGTGACACTAATTAGGTAGTTCACTTGATTAAATGGTGACACTAATTAGGTAGATCACTTGATTAAATGGTGACACTAATTAGGTAGATCACTTGATTAAATGGTGACACTAATTAGGTAGATCACTTGATTAAATGGTGACACTAATTAGGTAGATCACTTGATTAAATGGTGACACTAATTAGGTAGATCACTTGATTAAATGGTGACACTAATTAGGTAGATCACTTGATTAAATGGTGACACTAATTAGGTAGATCACTTGATTAAATGGTGACACTAATTAGGTAGATCACTTGATTAAATGGTGACACTAATTAGATAGATCACTTGATTAAATGGTGACACTAATTAGGTAGATCACTTGATTAAATGGTGACACTAATTAGGTAGTTCACTTGATTAAATGGTGACACTAATTAGGTAGATCACTTGATTAAATGGTGACACTAATTAGGTAGATCACTTGATTAAATGGTGACACTAATTAGGTAGATCACTTGATTAAATGGTGACACTAATTAGGTAGTTCACTTGATTAAATGGTGACACTAATTAGGTAGGTCACTTAATTAAATGGTGACACTAATTAGGTAGATCACTTGATTAAATGGTGACACTAATTAGGTAGATCACTTGATTAAATGGTGACACTAATTAGGTAGATCACTTGATTAAATGGTGACACTAATTAGGTAGATCACTTGATTAAATGGTGACACTAATTAGGTAGATCACTTGATTAAATGGTGACACTAATTAGGACCGACAAGGTAGTTTAGAGCAGACAACTCCTAACTTTTCTTTTCTCAGAGTTGATAGTGCGTTGTTTGTTACAGGCGTACATCCTAGGGTCTAGCCAAACTTTTCAAGTTCACATATTTACTTTCTTGTATATACGAAGTATAGAGAAAGTATTGTAATCGTGCAAAAAAAAATTGAGATTTTTACAAATCTCGACGTTTTACACCTCACTGATATGGAAAAACATAATTTTGCAATCTTGTCCGTATGTCTGTGTGTGTGTGCGTGTGTGCGTGTGTGTGTGTGTGTGTCTGTGTGTAAACACGATTACTTGAGTACCGTTACAGCTAGGTTGCTGAAATTTCATATATAAGTATTTTATCAAAATCTTAGATCCTTCTTAACTTTTGAGCGATTTGCGATAACCGGAAGTGGTACTTTTTCTACTTTGAATTTTTCAAAAGCCTATAAATTGAGTACTATTTCAGATAGATAAATGAAATTTCACATGTAAGTAAAAGATCTAATTTTGAGTAATTTCCGTTGACCGGAAGTACTAATTTACGCTCTTTCCGATTTCTCAAAAAACGCATGTAAATTTATAAAGTACTAATAATATCCCGCACTGTTATGCACATTTTATTAGGCGTTCACTTGGTGTGCAATTATTTTTTTTTTACGAGATTCTTATCTATTATAAAAAGTTTAAGTAATTAGAAAATGATTACAAATATTGTCTATGTCCTGAGTTGCCATTCCTTGTAGTTTTATATTAGAATATTCGAGAAAGTTTAGGAGAGATCACTCCCGGTTTATTTAATCTTGTTACAGGCGAACTATACATCCTAACGACCCAAACTTTTCAAGGTCACATATTTTAATCTTGTTACAGGCGAACTGTACATCCTAACGAGCCAAACTTTTCAAGGTCACACATTTTAATCTTGTTACAGGCGAACTATACATCCTAACGAGCCAAACTTTTCAAGGTCACATATTTTAATCTTGTTACAGGTGAACTGTACATCCTAACGAGCCAAACTTTTCAAGTTCACATATTTTAATCTTGTTACAGGCGAACTATACATACTAGGGTCTAGCCAAACTTTTCAAGTTCACATATTTTAATCTTGTTACAGGCGTACATCCTAGGGTCTAGCCAAACTTTTCAAGTTCACATATTTTAATCTTGTTACAGGCGAACTATACATCCTAGGGCCTAGCCAAACTTTTCAAGTTCACATATTTTAATCTTGTTACAGGCGTACATCCTAGGGTCTAGCCAAACTTTTCAAGTTCACATATTTTAATCTTGTTACAGGCGAACTATACATCCTAACGACCCAAACTTTTCAAGGTCACATATTTTAATCTTGTTACAGGCGAACTGTACATCCTAACGAGCCAAACTTTTCAAGGTCACATATTTTTATCTTGTTACAGGCGAACTATACATCCTAACGAGCCAAACTTTTCAAGTTCACATATTTTAATCTTGTTACAGGTGAACTATACATCCTAACGACCCAAACTTTTCAAGTTCACATATTTTAATCTTGTTACAGGCGAACTATACATCCTAACGAGCCAAACTTTTCAAGTTCACATATTTTAATCTTGTTACAGGCGAACTATACATCCTAGGGTCTAGCCAAACTTTTCAAGTTCACATATTTTAATCTTGTTACAGGTGAACTATACATCCTATGGTCTAGCCAAACTTTTCAAGTTCACATATTTTAATCTTGTTACAGGCGAACTATACATCCTAGCGAGCCAAACTTTTCAAGTTCACATATTTTAATCTTGTTACAGGCGAACTGTACATCCTAGGGTCTAGCCAAACTTGTCAAGTTCACATATTTTAATCTTGTTACATGCGAACTATACATCCTAGGGTCTAGCCAAACTTTTCAAGTTCACATATTTTAATCTTGTTACAGGCGAACTATACATCCTAGGGCCTAGCCAAACTTTTCAAGTTCACATATTTTAATCTTTTTACAGGCGAACTATACATCCTAGCGAGCCAAACTTTTCAAGTTCACATATTTTAATCTTGTTACAGGCGAACTGTACATCCTAGGGTCTAGCCAAACTTGTCAAGTTCACATATTTTAATCTTGTTACAGGCGAACTATACATCCTATGGTCTAGCCAAACTTTTCAAGTTCACATATTTTAATCTTGTTACAGGCGAACTATACATCCTAGGGCCTAGCCAAACTTTTCAAGTTCACATATTTTAATCTTGTTACAGGCGAACTATACATCCTAACGAGCCAAACTTTTCAAGTTCACATATTTTAATCTTGTTACAGGCGAACTATACATCCTAGGGTCTAGCCAAACTTTTCAAGTTCATATATTTTAATCTTGTTACAGGCGAACTATACATCCTAACGACCCAAACTTTTCAAGTTCACATATTTTAATCTTGTTACAGGCGAACTATACATCCTAACGAGCCAAACTTTTCAAGTTCACATATTTTAATCTTGTTACAGGCGAACTATACATCCTAACGAGCCAAACTTTTCAAGTTCACATATTTTAATCTTGTTACAGGCGAACTATACATCCTAACGAGCCAAACTTTTCAAGTTCACATATTTTAATCTTGATTCAGGCGAACTATACATCCTAGCGAGCCAAACTTTTCAAGTTCACATATTTTAATCTTGTTACAGGCGAACTATACATCCTAGGGTCTAGCCAAACTTTTCAAGTTCACATATTTTAATCTTGTTACAGGCGAACTATACATCCTAACGAGCCAAACTTTTCAAGTTCACATATTTTAATCTTGTTACAGGCGAACTATACATCCTAACGAGCCAAACTTTTCAAGTTCACATATTTTAATCTTGTTACAGGCGAACTATACATCCTAACGAGCCAAACTTTTCAAGTTCACATATTTTAATCTTGTTACAGGCGAACTATACATCCTAACGAGCCAAACTTTTCAAGTTCACATATTTTAATCTTGTTACAGGCGAACTATACATCCTAGGGTCTAGCCAAACTTTTCAAGTTCACATATTTTAATCTTGTTACAGGCGAACTATACATCCTAGGGCCTAGCCAAACTTGTCAAGTTCACATATTTTAATCTTGTTACAGGCGAACTATACATCCTAGCGAGCCAAACTTTTCAAGTTCACATATTTTAATCTTGTTACAGGCGAACTATACATCCTAACGAGCCACACTTTTCAAGTTCACATATTTTAATCTTGTTACAGGCGAACTATACATCCTAACGAGCCACACTTTTCAAGTTCACATATTTTAATCTTGTTACAGGCGAACTATACATCCTAGGGCCTAGCCAAACTTTTCAAGTTCACATATTTTAATCTTGTTACAGGCGAACTATACATCCTAGGGCCTAGCCAAACTTTTCAAGTTCACATATTTTAATCTTGTTACAGGCCCATATCCTAGGGTCTAGCCAAACTTTTCAAGTTCACATATTTTAATCTTGTTACAGGCGAACTATACATCCTAACCAGCCAAACTTTTCAAGTTCACATATTTTAATCTTGTTACAGGCGAACTATACATCCTAACGAGCCAAACTTTTCAAGTTCACATATTTTAATCTTGTTACAGCGAACTATACATCCTAACGAGCCAAACTTTTCAAGTTCATATATTTTAATCTTGTTACAGGCGAACTATACATCCTAACGAGCCAAACTTTTCAAGTTCACATATTTTAATCTTGTTACAGGCGAACTATACATCCTAACGAGCCAAACTTTTCAAGTTCACATATTTTAATCTTGATACAGGCGAACTATACATCCTAGCGAGCCAAACTTTTCAAGTTCACATATTTTAATCTTGTTACAGGCGAACTATACATCCTAGGGTCTAGCCAAACTTGTCAAGTTCACATATTTTAATCTTGTTACAGGCGAACTATACATCCTAGGGCCTAGCCAAACTTTTCAAGTTCACATATTTTAATCTTGTTACAGGCCCATATCCTAGGGTCTAGCCAAACTTTTCAAGTT